CTCCAGAAAAGGATTTATTTCCACCGGCCTGGGGAACAAGAACGGAGCTGGCACAGAAATGAGTTGGCACCACCAGACCTGGCCACCCTTGTTCAGGGAGACCTTCCAGGGTTTGAAAGTGACCTGTTCACCCAGCCGTAGCCCAATCCAACCTGAGTGGAGCATTTGTTGGCTTGCACCCAGAACCAATTAACTCCCGGAATGTACGGATCTGTGTGATTTGTGGTCAGATCCTGACGTTTCTGCCTTGCCTGGTGGAAAGGGAGGCCAGGGTAGCCCCATGGGAGGGATGCTTACCCGAGCCAGGAATTCTCCATCGTCCGGGGGCTGTGCCAGCTCCATGGCCCCACGGTCGGGGCGGGGAAATCCAGCCTTGTAAAGTCCCGAACGAAGGCTCTGGCCAAGGAAGTTGGCAATCTTGTGACTTCACCGTTTGTGGTTTCTAGACCTTTGGAGAGGAAGGAACAGGGTGGGTGGGGGTGGAGGCGGCAAAGAGCCATGGGTTCTGGACGGGTTCTGTCCCCTTCGTCCATCCTCCAGTGTGACTTAAAGTGTGGCTTTGCCACACTGGGTTATAGAAAGTGACCAGAACACCAGTTCACGTGCAGAGTGCTCTTCCATCTCCACCAAGCAAGCACCGCGCCCACACACGAAATTGGGGAGGGTGGCTTTCTGGCCGGCCAGCGTGGCTTCTGTGCAACTTGATGCTTCGGTGCTTCTCTGTCTGAGTTGCCGTTCTTGCGTTGTTTTGCAAGGCGGGGGCCTTTGTGGCAAAACCTCTGATTCAGGCCATCTCCTCTGTGCACGGATTGCTCGAAGGTTGTAATGCTTTTCCCTGCGCTCGCTCTAGAAAAGGCTTTGCTGTGATCAGTCTGTATGGCCGCGTGGCCCAACCGTCCCTGGCAAGCAGGGGCCACTGCCAGATCCCACGGCTAGTTCTGGGTTCCGAATTAAAACCCGCCCCCATGGCCCTAAACTGCTGGCGTGGCTCGATTCTCTGTGTTTACTGAGAGGAGGGTTTAATCCTTTCTGGCCACAGCAGGCGCTGTGTGGGCTCCCCTGGCCTCGCTCCCTGGACAGCTTGACCTCCGTAGTGGAGGGGCCTTGAGATAAATGTCTAGGCAGCACAAGCAGCCCGGGCGGGGCGGGGGGGCTGCTTCAAATTCCAGGCATGCTAGAGAGCCGGGCGGAGGAGAAGGCCTCGGGTGCCTCCCTTTTTAAAAAAAAATATGGAAAATTGGCCCGCCTTGTGTCTTGTTTTCCTTTCAAAACTGCAACAGCAGCTCTTTGTTGTGGGGTTTGATTTACGCCCCACTTTTCTCCTCCAAAGGGTTCACAAGAATGTTTTCAAAAAAAGGTGCAAATAAAAACAGAAGAGTTGCAATTTCCCCAAGGGCCGGGCTCACCTGAGCTGTAGCCCTTTCCTTCAGAGGCAGCTTTACAATTTCTTTCATTGTATTTTTAATCGGGTCGTATTGAAACCCCAGAGCAACCAATGCCATCGAAAATGTATCCATAAAAAAAAAGGTGCAACCTACCTATTAAAAGCCCCCCCGCCCCGCCATGTTTCCTCCTGGCCTAATGCCCTCTTTGGGTAGGGCTGCAGTCAAGCAGGGCAGGGCTTGCCCCACACCTGACTTGGAGGGCGGGAGGAGAGCAAGGCAGCCCCAGAGAGGGCTCCGGGGCTAACTTCTCCGCCCTTGTTGAGGTGTGTGACCGCTTGGGATTAATTACCTCAGCGGCTGGGCATTCACCCTTCCTGGAGGGCTGGAGAAACAGCGTTCAGATTACCGTTCGGGAAGGAAGAAGAAGAAGATTTATTCAAAAATACCAGGCACAATCAAAATTATAAAACATTGAACTGCTATTATATATCAGATAGAGTTTTAACCAAAAAGCTAAGTATCTGTTAGATATCAGCACAGGGTGTATGCCGTTCCTAAGATTCTCATTTTTAAGAGCGCTGATGGTGTGTGATTTCTGAAATCTGCAACTGTGTGTAAGAATGTCTGAAATTGCTTGATCTTGTTCTCAAAGCCCTGGTGACAGCGGGAACTCTTACTACCACTACTATTTTCGAGCCCTTCAAAAGCTCTAGAGCAGAACCTGGAAATCTTCCTTGGATTGAATTACAAACCTTTGGAAAACTGTAGTTCAAAAAAAAAAGTTTTCCATTGTTTGCCCCCCCCCCCCAAGACATGAAGCTTGGCTTTTATTTTTCCCTTTCTCCTTGTGCTTGGCTGCCCTTTCCAGCCATTAAAAGCTGCCTTATTTGGTGTTTCGGATGGGGGAGGGCGGGGGGGGGAGGAGAGAGGCATGGCAAAAATCCCAAGGGAAATAGAAGGAAGAAGCCCTTTTCCAGTAATGGCATCCGAGTGGCCCTGATGAGTTCTGCTAATGGGTGTAGAATGCTAACGAGGCCACTAAGTGGTGATAGCTGGAAGAGAAGGGCCGAGATGGCTTTGACCTCCAAGCCTCTCCGATGCCCAGCTGGCGAGGGGTTAGAAGTGCCGGCTATTTTCAGTGGAAAGACTGAAAATAGGGTGCAATCTTTTCTGCCCAACTGCAGGCAGAAGTCAGAAAGGGCTCAGAGTGGGTGCACACAAACACATCCTGGTGCGCCCATGGGTGTAGATGGAGCAGGACATAACCTCCGCTGGGTGTGATGATGCAGTGTAGGCAGGGGACGAGCCCCTCAGGCAGGTTTTAATTCTGAACCCACAGCCATCAGTAAGGCTTGCCGGTTTTTCTTCCATGTTTCAGAGTCCCCAAATTAAAACTCAAGAGTGTTACGTTTGTTGACTGCATACAAGCAATACTTCTAAAAAGAGTGATTTTTGTTCATCTGTTCCAGCAAAACCATGAAGTGCCTTGTGTGAACTCTAAGGCTGACACACTTAGCACACTTCCTGTGTGTTGTGGGCAGTAGAAGATGGAAACAGAACTAGTAGCTTCAGCCTCTACCAGTCACTTGTAGTTGAGAAGTCTTTCTGGGTTTTAGAGTCCAAATGACTCTTGGTAGATTTTTCTTCTAAAGAATCCTGTGGGTATGGAGCCAGCATCGTAACCCCATGCGCTTCCATGCTTCCTTCCTCGCCCTCCAGAGTTTCGACATTCCCCCCCTTCCTGGTCACAAGGCTTGTCAAAAGGCGGGGGCTTTAAGTCCTGAAGGCAGGGCAGGATGTGGGCCATGTAGAATTTTGCTCAGCGGGTACAGAGTCACTCATCTGCCATCAAAAGAATCATCCTTTTAAAATGTCTGACTCATGCATCTCATTCCGCTGAGCAGCGGCAATAAAAGAGGCAGTGAAATTGCGTGGGCCTTTTCTTTGCCCTGGAAGTAGCAGGAAGTGCATCATTTGCAAAGTATTGAGTGTTCCTACCTGGTGGGCACACGGCCTTCTTTCCTACCTTCCCAAGCCAATAGCGCTGGCCGTGGGGGCTTGGGGTGGCTGCACCCCGGTCGCCCATCAGCCTGCCTTTGGGGAAGGAATGGAAAGCAATGTTGAAAAAGTTTAAGAAGGGCACAGGAAACTTTGTTCTCGAGCACTTTTCAAAGGTGGATTGGGGCCTCCCATATCACAGTGTTCTCTTGGTCAGCCTTGCAGACAATGAAATTAAGACGGGCATGTATTTGTAGGGCTGGCTGGCTGGCTGGCTCGGTGAGTTAACAGCCTTGCAGACAATGAAATTAAGACGGGTATGTATTTGTAGGGCTGGCTGGCTGGCTTGGTGAGTTAAGCAGACCCAGAGGCTGAGGGTTCGATTCCCCACCGGGCCTCCTGAGAGATGAGCTAGCCTTCGTGGCCTTGGGCCAGCTACACAGTCGCATGGCACACACACACACACACCAGAGGCTGGGGGTTCGATTCCCCACCGGGCCTCCTGCGAGATGAGCTAGCCTGCGTGGCCTTGGGCCAGCTGCACAGTCGCATGGCACACACACACACCCGAAAAAAGGAAGAATAAACCATTTCTGAGTATTCTCTCCCAGAAGAATCTGGAGGGGGAAAGTCACGCTAAGTCAGAACTGGCGATGGAACACCATTATTAGGGTTATTTATATATTGTCAGGGTGGGTAAGAGGAAGATTTCTAGTTGATTAGCAGGACAACTCTGACTTCTGATTTTAAAAAAATCTCCCCCCCAACAATGTTAAATTCTGTGCTGTGCTTAGAATTTTGCAGGGGAAGTTGCATTTGTTTTTAGTTCAAGCCACGTAAAGGATTGGGAATGAGATTGTGTAAAGTCAGCCCAGACCACTGGCGCCTCTCTCAACTCCTGCCCCCTTTCTGTTTTTTAGGGTTCGCCTGTAGAAAAAAGGGGCCATTTTGTCCCTCTCTTGGTCAGGCAGTCCTTTTCCTGAACTGGTCTGTAGAGGGAAGGTGCCCGTTATTGAGCCGGGGAATCTCGAGCGGGGCAGATTCCGATGTTACGAACAGCCAGAATTTAAGGTCAGGACCAAGAGAGAGACAGAGAGAAAAAGATGGGCAGATTTGTCAGGCAAAAAGCAAAGTCCAGATAATTAGATAAAGACCTGGGGGTTTCTGTAGAGAGGGCTGGGACCCAACTCTTCAGAGCAGTGAGTGGCCAGGACCTCAGCCACGGGGGGGGCTCCCCCACCCAGACAAATTTCCTTGAGCAAGGGTGAGCTTCTGCCCTCAAGGCCAGGCAGTGGGAGCTGATCAGACACGTACAGAGGGGGGTTTAGTGACTTGCTGCCCTCCAAGAGCTAACACCCCCTAATCGGTCTGGATGAACTGAACTCTGGATTTGACAGTGGGCTGTGAAATGCTCCTCCTCGCCCGCCCCCTCCCTGTTGTGTAAGCATTGGGATGGCTCTTAGTACCAATCTATTAAAAGGTAAACAAGCCCCTGTCCTCGTCCTCACCAGATGCTATCTTGAGGAGATATTCATCGCTGCCTGGCTGTTTGCTTATCGCCCCCGCATTCCTGCCTCCCTCCTCCAGCTTTTGTCTCGCGTGCTTCAGTTAGGCAACATGTTCACACTTGTGCTGAGGCAGGTCAAAGGTTGGCCGGCCCAGATAACAGTTGAGAGGGGGGTCTGAGTAGAAGGGACGATGGTCTTCAGAGGGCTTCCAGCCAGAGGCAGAGTTGAAGAGGATGATGAAGCTTGTGGCACCCAAAGGATGAGCCCCTTTGATTCCAGCAGGAGCTCTGAGTGTCGGCCCAAGCCGACAAGAGGCCAGGAGTGCTCGTAATGTCATAAAATATGTCGGCAATCTCTCTGCTGTGTTATAACAGACCAAGTGAATGAAAAACAAACAAAAAGGGATCCATCCGTTGAAGCCACATTCATGGTTGCATGACAGCTTTATTAGGATCCCAAATAGATTGTGAACTTGGGAAGCCTTTTTTATTTATTTATATGTTTTTGGCATCCTCTTCCTTGCTGGTACACACAGAAGAAATGAAACATCTGCAAGCCGTCGGCTGTCGCGGGCATCCTCTGTATGAACAGCCCCACTGGCAATGTGGAGCTGGCCAGTTCAATGCAGAAGGGAAGCAGGCATCCTCTGTATGAACAGCCCCACTGGCTGGACAGTTCAATGCAGAAGGGAAGCGTTCAGGCCTTGATTAACAGCATTCGGCTGCCTTCCTCTCGGCTCCTGAGTCCCTGTGATCTGCCCTTTGTGGGCCGTCCAAGCCCAGAGCCTCTCTGAAAAGGCGTGGAGCCAAAGCAGGGGGTGACCTGGTGCCTTTTGTACGGACAAAGCCGGAGAGTTAATTTGGGTGTTGCACTGAGCATGTGTGTGTGTGTGTGCACGTGGATCCGTTGAAACCCAAGTGATTGTGTTAACTCGAGGGCTGGAGGGGAAAGGGGGCCATCAATGAGCTCTCCAGAACTCAGGGGCTGAGTTAAGGGATTCAAGATTTCAGGGACGGGGGTCCAAAACTCCGTCCAGATAAAATGCCTGCTGAAAGTTATCCTGTGTTACATCGCTCTCCTCCTGGGAGCGGAGTTAAGCTGTTCCTCGGAGACTCTCCCTTCCAGAGTTGGATCCAGGCCCTTGAGCTAATGCGGCTGCTTCTGCTTCTCTGTCTCCCTCATCCAGTGGAGTTTGCAGACTGCAAAGGAGAGTCGGCGCCTCTGTACAGCACGCAGGACGAACACTTTCGGGTGCTGGCCGACGGGACTGTGCTGGTGCGGCACCACACGCAGCTGCGTGGGCCCGAAAGGACTTTTGCCGTGAATGCCTGGGATTCCTCGGGGGCCAAATCCTCCACCTTGGTTACCCTGCAAAACAAAGGCCATCCTTCTTCACAGGTAAATGTGCTGAGCGAGGCCTCTGGGGAGCGCAGGTGGCAGGCGCCCTGGCAACGTACGTCCTTGGCCAGGCTGCGTCGTTGGGGTGGAAACCATGTCAAGGGGGCCATCTGGTTCTCCGCAGGTGGAATGCACCTCTTGGCTGCGAGGAGGGAGGGGGGAGGCCTTTTCCTGCTCTCAAAATAACTTTGGCTTTCCCCACAGCCTTTAAGCTGAGACGTCAGCCCCTGGGAACCTCTGGGAGATCCTTGAGCGGGAATTGTTCTCTGGAGGATCAGAGAGCATCTCATTGCCCATAAACTGGCCCTGAAGAATCTATTGATCTTTTCTGTCTCTTTGAGGACCCAGGGCACAGCCGTTTGAATCAATAAGATGGCTAATTTCTCCATAAAGCCACTTCAGAGTTTAGCCTCCGGTTTCATGTTCTTGTTCTCGGTCCGATTGAAAACACAAGCTCCTGACCTTGATGTAACTGGAAACAGTGGCTTGATGAACTGAAGATGTTTCATGTGATTGAATATTATTGAGAATGAAAAGGCAGCACACGGGCAGAGTGGTGGAATAGTTACTGAACTGTGGAGTTGGTTCAATGCTAAAGTATTGCTGGCTTCTTCTTGCAAAGATGAAAAAGCTCTAGAAAACCTTTCTGTAATTTGAAGAGACTGGGAGGTGGGGTCAACAAGGAAGTTGGGGAGAACTGGAATGGGTGTACCACCTCCTTTCTTACCAAATGCAAACAGATGTTATTGCTTTAACAGCAGAAAAGCACTACTTTATAACTTGCAGGATATGAAACTGTGCAAACCAACAAAGCATTATATGCCCTCCATTTTATACAAGCAAAAGCGTGAATATATCAGTGATGGATCACTCTAAGAGCTGTATTGCTTTTTTGCCAGCTGATTGTGGGGAAAGTTGAAAATACAAACTGCACATTTGTAAACAAAAGGAAGTATATTATTTGAACCTAACCAGTTTCATACAATCTTAACCTTAAGCACCTGTGGTCTAGTTGGGCATTGAGTTTACATTTATAATAACAAAACCTTTTAGGCAGTGTGTTCTCATACTTGCCTGTTGGCTGCACAGAAATTGAAATATTTAAACTGATCTATGATGATATGAGCATCACAAGTTTCTGATAAGAACCGCTTCTGGAAATAGTAGTAATCTCTGAGTTTTAGCCTTTTAAAAAATCTTCCTGGATATCAAAAGCTGAGAACTTGCACACCATTTATTTCTGGATTGGCTATGAATGGTTCCAGTTGGGGTCTACTTCCTTTCATATGCCACAGGGGGGAAAGTCTCTTAGAAAAACATTGACTGGCTGTTTTTTGTAGGTGTTTTCCCGCCCACACGAGCCCCAAATTTCTGACATTTCCACTGGAAAGAGAAGCCCTGGGAGATGTTCCTCCCACTTTGGGGTCTTCTGCCTTGCCTCTGCTTTCAGAGCTGTAGTTCAATAAGACATGATTTAATCTGCTACCTACAAGGTGGGGGGGCATGTCTGCTAAAGCTGCCGTGTGCTGCTTCTCACGTCCTTATTATGAGGTTTAGGGACTGAAATCCGCTCTGATGTGGTGTCAGCGCTTAGCAAGGCCTCTCTGTCTGGGGGAGCCCTATCCAAGCTGGCATCCTGTTCTCGTCATTTGGCCAAGGGCCCTTGTTGGTGCTGAGTAGAGCCTCTCTGGAGAGGCATTTGGCTTTTCCCTGGTGGAGTGGGAGACAGAATTGCATCGGAAACGAGACCCCATTTGATAGCTCCCAGCAGAACTGAACGAGCACGGAAAGACAACAGTGGGGCTGTTCTCATTCATCTGGGGCATGCCACTCACATTGTTTATTCACACTGTGCTTTGCTCGCTGTTGGCTTTCCAGCTCACGTCCCTCGTGGATGCTCTTTGTTGAAAATGAGCGCGTGCTGGGTAGGACCCAAGTGCTGATCCATCAATCCATTAGAAATGTCGCCTTCAGTGGCGGTTCTTGTCCTTTCCAATGATTCTATAAATGACTGCCGTTTTCCTGCAGGAAGAGTCCGGCCGAGCGGAGGTGCTGCAGTTCCCCTTGGTGAAGCCCGGTCTGAAGAGGCAGAAGAGGGACTGGGTTATTCCTCCCATAAGAGTGCCTGAAAATGAACGAGGTCCCTTCCCAAAGAAGCTTGTTCAGGTATGGGGGAGCCCTGCACAGAACTTTGCTTTTGAAATGTAACCTCTCGCTATCCCTTCGCCTATGCTGGCTGGGGAAGTCTAGACGTTTGCATCCAAAAGAAAACACACGAGAGTTCCCAGGAGGTCTAATGCACTGCAGCATATTTGTGAGTTGTGGATTCTGGGAATTGTTGTTTTAAAAAAACCAGTTTTGAAACTCTGGACCAGGAAGTAAGAAAGAGTCACTTTGTCCCAGGAGACATGGGCTAACAAGTCTGTAGCCATCTGCTACAGAAATATCCTCAGCATTGTGGTATTTTCTCTCTCTAATGGGCATACCTGGTAACCTTGCTGACAGATACGAACTATTTAGCATTTCAAAGCCAGAACCAGCAGCTCTTTGAGAAATGCCGCGTTGCCTGTGTTTACAGCTGTTCCTTTCTCCTTCCCCACCCATATCTCAGATTAAATCCAACCGGGATAAAGAAACCAAGATTTTCTACAGCATAACTGGGCAAGGAGCGGATACCTTTCCGGAGGGGGTCTTCATCATTGAGAAGGAGACCGGTTGGATGAAGGTGACGCAGCCGCTGGACAGAGAAAACATAGACAAATACCATGTAAGAAATGCTCTTCTCTCCCCCCTCCCCCCCCCCTTGCCGGCCACAGTTCTGAGTATGGTTTTTCATCTGGAGGAATGTGCCTCTCATTGAGTTTGCATGAGAGAACAATTTATTTATTTGTTTGTTTGTTTGATTGATTTATATCAAATTTATATTTATAACAAATTTATAAAGCTTTTATACTTACAAGTTATGACTTACCTGTCTATTTCCCCCACTGGAAGAAAAAAGTTTGCTTCTTGTCCAGTTTCCAAGATAGGGTAATGCTTTTATTAACCACTGAAATATTAAAAACGGGCTATAATCCTGTTGTGTATTTATGCCAGCAGAAGGGAAATGGCATTACTCACAGTGGCAAATAGCTGCTAATTGACAAGTCACTGCTTGAATACCTAACTGGGTGCCAGTTGGACGGCTTAGCATGTGACCAGGCATCCACGCAGGGGCTCAATCATTAGCAGCAATTTGCCACTGTCTGTTACCCCATCTCCCTTCCACTGGTATAACTGTGGAACAGGATTTTGTCCAGGGAAGCTTTTGAGTCCAGTGGGGCCTTTCTTTAGGGTAGCCATTGCAGAGCTTTGAGAGTGAGAGGAGAAAGAGAGAAATCATCCTGACCAGCCATTGCAGCGTCAGGATCTCAGTTAAAGCAAGGTCCCAAGATGGAGGCTGTGGATCTCAACCCAGGGGTCTAACTGCAACACCATGCTTCTCCCGGTAGCTTTTATCCCATGCCGTGTCTGAGAATGGCAAGTCCGTGGAGGAACCGATGGAAATCATTGTCACAGTGACAGATCAAAATGACAACAAGCCTCAGTTCACCCAGGAAGTCTTCAGAGGATCTGTCCTGGAAGGAGCAACCCCTGGTAAGATGGGCGAGAAGAGAGGGGGAGAGTTTGACTCAGTACCACCTGTAGTTCAGGTCTCCTGCTGTGGCAGATTTACTCTGATGGATTTATAACCAGGAGCTAACCTGTGGCATTCAGGGGACATTTTGGGTGCATGCTTAGAAATAAAATGGTGGAAGAAGATGCAGATAAAAGCTTGGCATCTTACTTTATTGGTATGTAAGCCATTAACCCTGCTGGCCTTGGGGATTCTGGAGATAATAGTCCCAGAAATAGTGCCATTCAGATCCCCTTCATTGACGCCTGATTATACAAGAGGGGTTTACGTTAAGTGCCCTTCTAATTCTACTCACTCACGAACCTGCTTCGGTTCCATAATGTGCTGGAAACACTTAATGTGCTTCTTGAAAACAAAACTCTGCTGTAAAGAAAGAAAAGAAGCAGAGCAGGCATTTTCCTGAAGGCTTATTTTATTCCCCATCCTAGCCAGGGCACTTTTTCCAGCCAAGAGTTCCTTGAAACGGTTGTCCACACCCAAGGGACGAAACTCAAAGATCATTAAGCGACTGGGAAGGTCAGAGGAGATGCCTGGCATGCTGGAGGCAAGAGCAGATCCATTTGGTTTGGCTGTTTCAACATACAGGGCAGCCCCATAGAAATTATGGAGATGAACCCTGTCCTCTGCAGCTAGAGGAAACAAGCTCCAGCTCCCAAGTGACAGCCCTTCAAATGTTTACAGATGGTTCTCATGTCATTTCCCAGCCTTCTCATCTCCAGGCTACATATCACCAAGTTCCCTCAACCGTTTCTTACAAGGCTTGGTTTCGGAGCCCTTTCCCATCCGGACCTCTTCCTCTCCACCCTCTTCCCCGCAGGGACATCCGTGATGCAGGTCTCGGCCACCGACGCCGACGATGCCATAGAAACCTACAACGGGGTCGTCGCTTACTCCATCGTGAGCCAAGTTCCAGAGGAGCCCCACAAGCAGATGTTTGCCATCAACCGGGCGACAGGAGCCATCAGCGTGATTGCCAGCGGTTTAGACCGAGAGGTAAACAAAGTCCTGATTTGGCATGGAGAAACGTGGGTGATGATGGGGACGCCGCTACCCGGCTGAAAGTGATGGCCACCTCGTAGGCAGAGCTGTCATCTAACATGGCTCCAATATCTGCTTTCTTACCCTGCTTGACACCAATCCAGAACGTTACTTTATTTTATTTCAAATATTTTTTAAGTCTGGGAGCAGCCACAGAGAAGGCCCTCACCCAAGTCACCACCAAACAGACCTGTGAAGATGGCGGGGCTAACAGACAGGCCTTTATGTCCGATGGGTGGGCAGCCGCTAGCTTCATCGATGGGTCCAGGGGTCTTGGCTGGCAGGAGACAGAGCCAAAGGCAGGGATCTCGATCAATCCTTATTGGGGCCTTTGGGGTTTGGGCTCTAACATTAACCGAAGGCTGTTCCCTCTTCCAGAGAGTGAAAGAGTATATACTAACCCTGCAAGCGGCCGACTTGGATGGCGAAGGGTTAACCAACAGCGCAACGGCCATAATAGAAATCGCAGACGTGAATGACAATGCACCAGAATTCAAGCAACAAATGGTAAATAATGTTTGCCCTCGTTCTTCTGGGCAGTGTCAAAGGGTGTGGTTCGGAGGCGGTCCACCTTCCGGCGAATGTGCCCGGTCGGATGTAATTTCAAGGGCAGCTGGTCCTCAGGCACTCTGGTGGGCCCTTCCAGAGCTGACCCAGGCTCTTTGGCCACCTGAGGCAAGAGGCCAGCAGCCACCTCCCCCCCCCAGTCCATGCAGAAAAAGTGACTGGCTCAGCGACAGATTTCTTCTGTGCCAGAGGTGGGGCAGTGCCCTCCACCACCCCTGAATGCCAGGGCTAGGAAAAGTTCCTTTAAAAAAAAGTTAAATCCCCTAATTCAAGATACCCAGAAGTCTGATGAATGAATGAATGAATGAATGAATGAATGAATGAATTCATGAATGCAAAGGACAGGAAAAGCAGAAGAGAGAAAAAGCAGTGTTTTATGAATGAATGAATGAATGAATGCAAAGGACAGGGAAAGGAGAAGAGAGAAAAAGCAGTGTTTCTAAACTCTGGTGAAGGTGGCCGGTTCATTTAAGGAGCCCAAGATATTTGGAACAAATGGGAACTTCTGTACAGTCCCAATAACAGCACCAGACTGCCACTTACGTACATGTACATTCCCTGTAGGGTTCCCTCCTCTTGCTGTTTTAATAATTAGCAATTCATGTTGTTTATAATTTGATTCTAAGATAACATTTTCCCTCTCAGTACTCAGCCGAGGTACCGGAGAACGAAGCGGGTTTGGAAGTCGTCAGGCTGGCGGTCACGGACAAAGACGAGGTTGGGACGCCCGCTTGGCGGGCCAAGTACACCCTTGTGCAAGGCAACGAGGGTGGTTTCTTCACCATTGTGACAGATCCAGAGACCAATGAAGGCGTGCTGAAAACAGCAAAGGTACGTGGCGGGAGTGTGTGTGTGTGCGTGCGTGTGCCTGCACACCTGGGTGCCTGGCAGGCATGTGAGCTTAGCAAAGTTGACAATAGAGGTCTGAAGCTCAGATGCATCTTGGCCCTGGAGAAAGAAAAAAGTAGGCGGTCAGAACGGTGGTAGGCAGAGCCTTCACTTCCTTCTGCTTGGTGAGAGGTGTGCCCATGCGGCCTTACTCTATGGACTCATAGCATCAAGGCAGGCTGGACCAATGAGAAGCCAATGTCGGTCCCCCTGTGACCAATTAGAATGAAGAGAGCAGACTACGGGTGGTCTGAAAAGATGAAAAGAGGGAAAGGAAGATGGGGACATGAGAAATGGTAGCCCAGGGGCTGGTAGGTTGATGAGCTGTCAGATCACCTCTCCGGTCCCCCTGCCCACATCCGGCAAGCTTTACAGCAACCGCTTGGAAAATATTGCTTTACTGTAGTACAACTCCCAAAATCTGTTGGCTTTGACTAGTTGCCTCTGGGAATTGTAGTCCCCACCATTGCTTTCCAACCCCCAGTAGAGGAAAAATACCAACATTCCAGTTTAAAAAAGCACGCACACATTTTTTGGGGGGTGTCATGGTGAAAATAAAAGAATATCAAGTTCTGGAGTTTCTTAATGAAGTGGCTATGCTTTGAGCTGTGGGGTTTTGGGGGGTAAGAAACTTGGGGGCTTTTGGAAGAGTCAAGATCTCTGTCCCCTTGAGACTGCTTGTTGGTGAGAAGGCAGAACTTGGGAACGGGGTTGAGTTAATGAAGCGACAGCATGCGGTCCCTTTTCACTCATCTGAGACCTGCTCTTTTGCTTTGCCTAAGGGTAGGGCCGGCCCCATTTGCATTGAATATGCTGCTCCTTCTTCCTGTTTTAGAGCTTGGACTTTGAAGTGAGGAAGCAGTTCACGCTGCAAGTAGCCGTCACCAACGAGGTCCCCTTTGTGGTCAAGCTCCCAACATCCACGGCCACCGTCACCATCAACGTCAAGGATGTGAACGAAGCCCCCATTTTTGTACCCCCAGTCTTGAAAGCCCAAGTCTCTGAGGACATCCCAGTCGGGCAGAAGATCACATCATTCACAGCTCAGGATCCAGACAGGATGCAGCCCCAGAGGATTCGGTAGGCCATTCTGATGCTGGGCCGTGGTGGGAAGCAGAGGAGATACCTTGAAAACCTGGCCTCCTCTCTCTACCCATTTCTAGATGGTGCCGGGCGATCAGCCGGCTCAGTGCAAAGGTGTGTGAGCCTTGCACAGGCACAAGACTGGTGCACCACAAACCAGAAAGGGAGGGCAGAGGATTGGGGGTGACAGCCAGCAGGTACATGCACGGGGAGGGGGCCCATGGTGCAAATTAAGCAGGGCAAAGGTAGAGGACTCGTCACTTATGGCCCATCTTGTTTCATAAGTAGCGGCAGAGGACCTGGGAGGGAGTTCTCCTTGAGCTACTGGCGAGCCTTCCGGGAATCCCAGTGGCAGTTTAAAGCCCAGAAAAGCTCCCTGTGTGTCGCATTTTGAAGTAAGGCAAGACATGGAGTGTTTTGCGCCAAGTTTCCAAAAATCTCTTCTCCCAGATTCACTGCCTGCCCCACCTCTGTGACCTCACAAGGTCAACTCCTATGACATCACAACAGCCTGACCCGATGGTTTCAAGGTCGTGGTACTGAAACCTCGGGTGATGGAAGGACCCTCTCCTGGCGACCCTCATGTGGGCCCGTGAGAGGGACGAGGATGGCTGGGCAAATGCAGGAGGAAGACGCTGCAAAGCATCCCCCACCTTCTGGGAACGGTCGTCCTTCATCACCCCGCATTGCACCTTAATGAAGAGAAGCCTGGACGTTTTAAAAGGGGGGGGAAGAGTTGGAAAACACAGCAGAGGAAAAATGATACCTCTCTAATGGACCAGCTCGGAGTTCAGGTGGTGTAAGAATATGCCAGGTAGAAGGAGAATTGGAGGTTTCCACGGTGTTAGGTTTCACAGCAAGCATGCCGATACCTACACCTAAAGCAGCAAGGCAACTAAGATATATTTTTGGGGGGAAAAAACATTAAAGGCATCTGGGGGCCAGCTTTTTAGTTGTTGTAAGGCAAAGGCCCAATGAAAGGGGATCCGATCAAGAAGCGTTTGCATGGTTAGAAACAGAGCAACCCAATATCCTAAGCCAGTGCTGCTTATTTATTTTCTTAAAAATATGTTTACCTCTCCTTTCTCCTCAAAAGCACCCAGATTGTGAACCTCAGGTACTAGGAGCACAAAATCATTTTTATGATTTTTTCCCCCCATAAAATCATTTTTATGGAAAGGGCGGAGTGAAACAAGGCACAATTTGGAGGCCTTTCATATTATCTCGTAACACAGCATTCTGATTTATAAACCGTATTTCATAATAAGATTGTTTGAAGGATTGTGCATTTTGAATTAAAAGGATTGTCACATTTAAAAAAGGCCATGTGCTGTGAAATGCAGACCCTGCCGTGTTTTTTCAAAACCAGAAGTTGTCTTAATTTGTTTTACTTTATTTATTCCAGCCATTTAAGGGTTCCTCCCTCCCTCTCTCTCTCTCTCAGGTATTCTATAGGAAACGACCCGGCTGGGTGGCTGCACATCCACCCGGAAAACGGCATCATCACAGCCCGCAGCCCTTTGGACCGGGAGTCCCCAGCTGTCCAGAATGACACCTACAGAGCCATTGTGCTGGCTGTGGATGATGGTAAAAAATCCGTTCGGCTGGGAAGATGTGGGGAGGGGGAGGGCAGAAGCAAGGCGCTCTCCATTTCCCGGTCACCATCCCTTGGGGTGGAGGGAATCAAAAGCCCCTTTGTTGGCTGGGGAGGCAGCTGCCTGCAAGCCGCCCATGTGAGGGGCGCATGGTGGCGGAGCCACCTCCTCGTGGGCTGTCACGAGAAGCCACATCTCACGCGTCTTCGACTCTTCCTCCTTGGAGAAGGAGAGAGGACAGGCAGGAAGGCGTCTCCGTGCCTCTGAAAACGGGACCCAAAGGGCTCTGACTGCCACCAACGGGCCGCATCCTGAGCCTGGAAAAGTTTGCCCTTTGGAGAGTTTTGACTCCTAGAATCCCCCATCGCCTTCTAGCCAGTATGGCCACCCCCGCTCCCATGATCCCCCCAGCCAGCGGTTTGCCCTTTGGAGAGTTTTGACTCCTAGCCGCCATCGCCAGTATGGCCACCCCTACTCCCATGATCCTCCCACCCAGCCCAGGCACTGCAACTCCTGGAATTTCCCAACCAGCGTACAGTGGCCACGCTGGGTAGGGGATTATGGGCACTGTAGTCCAGGAACTAACTTCTCTGCTATGGATGATGCTAAGATAGATGGGAGTAAAGCGCTGAGAGCCTCTGCCGGCACTAAAAGAAGGGTGAAAGAGGGTGGGGCGTTTGGGGGCTGTTCACACTTCCACTGTCGATGAGGCCTCTCTTGCTCCTTCCCTGCCCCCCCCTCAGTCCTTTCAGCCCCTTTTGGGGGGTGGGGAGAGAATGCCAGCTCCTGCAGCTCTTTCAGGCAAAAGCCCACCATCCTTGCTGCCACGAAACTCTCCACGGGCTGTGCTCTTGGAAAAGTAGGCTAATCAGCCGAATTGTGCAAATTGATGCTGCAGGAAGCCTGTTGGTGACAGCTTCCAGACGTTCGTGTGCCTTTGGAAGAGGATTTTTCTTCTCTTTGTGCCCTTCAAAAGCCAAAGAAAATGGAGCATCTCTGTAAATGAGCATGCCTCTTAACAGTTACTTGACGTGCTCAAATCGGCTCTACCCAGAAATCGTGTGCAGCACAGATCTTCAGAATAAATGCAGATCCTCGGGGGGGGGGGGAATAAAACATTTGGCAGATGTCTCTGTTCTAGATTTTTTTTATTTTTTATTTTTGGGCGTTTGTTGAGATTTGGCCTCTGTGGTGCAAAGAGCAATTGTGTTAGGAAATAGGCAATCTTGCCAGTCCGGAGGAGAAGGGAGTTGCCAGAGGTCATAAGGGAGGTATGTGGCAGAGTCCAGCTCTCTGGAGGCTGCAGCTTGGACAGATGGGCCTTTGATTCAGAATCATCACTTTCTGAATTCTTTCAAACCAGTGCATGAATGGGTGCTGAACTTTGGCGCATACAGGGTACATGGGAAATGAATCCCGGCCCCTGCCCAGGGGGCAGTCCTCTGCTCAGCTGATCGAGTGGCCTTCCTCTCCCCTCTGAAACAGGAAACCCCCCAGCTACCGGCACCGGCACTCTCCTGCTGACTCTGCTGGATGTCAACGATAACGGGCCTGAACCTGACCGGTGGAGGATCACCGTCTGCAACACCAACCCTGCCCCCCAGTATTTGCAGATCCTGGACAGGGACCTCCCTCCCAACACTGGCCCGTTCCGTGCCGAGCTTGCCCACGACTCGGATGAAAACTGGGCTGTAGAAATGGACAGCAAAGGTGGGTGAGGTGTTTCGTCAGGACTGCCTGAAGACAGTCAGAATGTTCTGCCTTGTGGCGCTCCCGTGTTGGGGGTCTTTCTCTCCCGTTTTCCTGCCATGGCAAGTCCGTTTCCGTGTCTTTTCTGCAGAGAGTCTGGACGGAGGGAGCGATCCCGCCATTCTCTCTGACTCCCGCCTGTGCTTTTGCAGGGGAAACGGCGATTTTGAAACTGTTGAAACCCTTGAAGCAAGAGACGTATGACGTTTACCTCCAACTCTTTGACAACCAGAACAAGGCTCAGTTGACGGTGCTCAAGGCCACCGTCTGCGAATGCGAGGGGCCGGTCGAGCATTGTCCGCCTGAACAGAATCTTGGCGTCGGGGCCCCCGTCATCTTGTCCATCCTGGGAGCCATCTTGGCCCTGTTGCGTGAGTACACAAAACACTGTCCTCCCTTGGAGGGGAAAGGAAACCCAGGGATCTAAATTTGGCTCTTCCCTGAAGAAGGGGCGCTGGGCTGCAACCCGGGGCCAAGGCAGCAGAAGCGGATTTTCCCTTTGGGTGGTCTACCTAACATAGAGACCCCTTACAGACACCTGTGGTTCCCCCGGGAGAAAGGCCTCAACTGGGAAGGCTTTGGGGCTGAGCTAGGCTCTGGGTTTTAGCCTGAACTGGGTGTGAGGCATTGAACTGTATCCCCCACCCTCCCTCCCGAATGGTTTCAGCACCTTGGAGAGTTCAGGGTAACCCAGAGCAGATTC